CTGCCCGATCGTTTTTATTCGCACTCACACGTTGCCAATTATTACATAATCAGTATATTAAATAAAAAATTAATTAACCTCGTACTAATTTAACCTAGTCCAGAACAGTCAGCTGCGACATATTCTGAATTTAAAGGATAATTTTCCAGTTGCAGCATCAAATGCTCCATGCATAATTTAATATATTAGCATACAAAAACTCTTCAGCAAATACCTTTCGCAAATGAAGAGCAGCAAGAAGGACGTTTTATCACGAATGATAAGTTCTACGCCCTCCGTGTATCGGGATGTTTAATTAACCACACAAAAAATCGCTCACGACGCTGACCGAATACTTTTTTTAAGTCCTCACTTATTTAAAAGACTTAAGTGCACCATGTCTTCGGGCATGCAAGGATGTCATCGGATACTAAAACAGACACAGACAGGTTAACTTTTTAGCGCATTTTCTCATTTATGGAAAAAATGCACTATTGTGCTCGCCATGTCCGTCCGTCTGTCTGTCTGTCTGTCCGTCCGTCTGTCCGTCCGTCCGTGACCTCAAATTTTCGTCGACGAGAAAATGCGCTCTCTGTCACTCACTGCAGTGAGTACTGAGTTATATTTTGCATTTAATAACGTTTTATCTCTGTGCAATGGAATCAGCAGTTAAAGGAGAAACTCACAACGCTAGGTATTGTTTATCCAATTTCAGTTGTCATAGTTCGGAATTTATGGACTTAACCGTAAATAAATACATTGAACTTCCTAAAGTCCTATCATAAAATTTCGCATCATCGACAATTCGCGTTTTGATTTCAATCTAATAAAACTTCGGGAACCAGCCGATAATCTCAGTTAGCTAGAATGAGTAAATTTTTTCTTACTTGTTTAGTGTCATGCATTCCGTCAATATTGAGCTGAAAACGACTGCAAATCAAATGAATACCTAACACTTACATGAACTGTCCTAGTCTAGAAAAATTAAAAACACGCAAAGGGCTTTAGGAGTTTTAATGTTGATGCTTATAAAGTGGCAAGAACTCTGCCTTACTCCTTCTAAGGAAACCATCAGTGGCCATCCAGGAGTTGTTAGGCAAAATATAGGCCTCGAAAACGTCATAAACGTGGTTATTTGTCCCCACCAGATGTAAGGAGAGGAGCCTTACATTTGTTGGATTCCGGCCTCCACAATTATACGTCTATTAAAACAAATATTATCGGCGTGATCTACTCGAATATAAATTGCTGCTTGTTTTCTTGCTCATGATTCTTGATGACTCTATAAGTCCGAATTCTGAACGGCTCCGTGATGACTTAATTAAAAAAACTCAACAAGATTATCGATTAGCTGTAAATACTGTAAATATTGTAAAGATAGAGTTTTCCTATGAAACTTTACAGCGATTACATGAAATTTAAACCGAAGCTTCAAAGGTAGAATCTCCCCTTAAAATCACTCTCAGACACCAAATAGAGAGCGAGCGTCCTTTTGTATCTTGTATCCGTCAGCGATGTTTCCTCTACCTCTCATGGTTATAGTTCAACCATGCTACCTCTGGCATCACAGATTGAAGGGTCTTGGAAACATTATATACTTTTTAACAAAAACCTTGTCTTAAACGCGTGATATTGTATACAGATATTTTTCTTATGTTACTTGAAACATTTATCTGATGTTTATGTCTTAATCTGCTTGGTGTAAATTTGGTCTTTCTGTTTATTTCAGTTGATCTCTTCAAGTGTTGAGCTAATGATGGCCATAACGTTCACGTTCTCGACAAAAATATGGCAAAATTTAGTCGGGATTTTCATCGCTTTTCAATTCTCGATCCTGCTAAAAATTATAGTTTATCCAAGTTGCAGGAGGCAGGTTGCAGGTTTTTAGGTTACGTCATCATTTCTAATTGATCGAGGTGAATAATATATGTAATATGTATATCGGTTATTATTTCATAATTATTATGAACCATAGTAGAACCCCGACGTCTGTGAAATTTGAAATCATTTGATTTCTAACAATCAAAAATGAAATAAGTGATGTTCAGACTAGGATTGTATTATTATCTCTGTTCTTGCCTTCAATAAATCAAATATTTGCAATTCATTGTGGTAATTTGATAAGCATACCGATTCTATGAAAGCGTACTAGTTCTTAGGCGAAAACTGGATTAAGATTATTTAGATTCGTTTTCTATGGTAAAGCTGTTAATTAAAATTATATTGGAACGGAGGCTACGAAGCCAAATGTGTAATCAGAGCAAATAATTTAGTTAGCGCTACAAAGTTCGAAGAATGGATATGTGTACAACAGAAAAATTCATCGGATGACTGAAATATTTTCAGCCTTGCATATTTGTTGCTTACTGAAGACGACCGGGTTTTTTATGAAAAATGCCGAAAGTTTATCGTTATCCTAGATGATTCTGAAAACCCTAGAGAACCTAAATTTTCTGGCATAAGAATACTTATTTAATTGAAACTAATGCATTAACGCCCANGATTCGGTCACGTCTGCATCTTGTCACTCGGATCAGGCCGTGAGTAAGGTCTGTCTCTTATACACATCTAGATGTGTATAAGAGACAGGGCTAATGCAGGTCGTGAATTGCCCCGCTCGTCCCGTCGCTCTTCATTTCTTGGTGCCCCACTGGCGCCCACTGCCAAAAGGTCGAAGGCATTACCGGTCGGACACTTCAGCGGACTCGCTTCGCATTACAGCCAGTATTTGGATCAAAATAAGCCTGAATTGTTTTTGAAACTTATTACGAGAGTTGATCTAATTTATTTCTTAATGACTTATTGCTTTTGAAATTGAGAAGAGAATTTGTTACTGTTACTGCTCGGAAATTGGAAACAACCGACCTCGATTCAAAATTTCAAGTCAGCGCGTCATTGTGGCTGGAGACTCCCGTGCGCAGGTTCTAGCTGTTTTTTGCTCCCATATTTTCCTTCAATAAACGTGCAGAAGGAATTAGTGCCTAGTTATAATAATATTATGTTCAAAATGTTGTGTATAACGCACATTATGAATGGAAAACACTTGCTGAGATTAGCTAGCCTTATCTCTTTGAAAATTAGAAAGTTTGTGCGTGCCATGTGCCAATCCATGAAACGCCATGTGCCAATGTGAAACTAAGGCTCGTATGAGCCTGCCGGAATTAAAGTGTGGAAAAGTTGAGCTAATCTGTGTGCCTGATTCAGACCGATATTGCTCTATTTTAACGATTACAATGGATTATTCGATTAGTCAGTAATCAGCAGCCCATCTATTTCATTTATCTCATGTTTGACATGCCTTGCTGACTGACATGTTTCTCTTTGTAAAGTTTGAGTCTTCTTGATCAGGTTATTCAATTCGTCATATGTCTGTAAAGTAAATAATGTGTAGTAGCTTACACTTAAATTTACATTTGTCGGATAGATGCAGTCTGAATAGTTGGAATGATTAAAGTTAATTGAGGTTATTCACTCCGGTAAGTTCGGTGACGTGCTATCATGCTGAGATCATTACAGAATTTTATTGACAAGATCAGAATTTCATTGACAGAATGGATCAGAATTTTATTGACAAGATTAAGTTGATCGCTGTTTTCTAGAATATATGATAACCTATTCATTCGGCTATATTTCTTTACGCAGGTATTGAAAAATTAATCACATCTAAGTCAATTTGTTTTAGTGCATTTCTCGAGTCGCCAAGAAAACGTGAGTAACCCCAATGTTTTGACCAGGATTTCATTTCTAAATGGGATAACATTGACTGAAAGCCTGTTTCTTCAATCAAGCCGATCTGAGGCCAGTATTGCACCCGAGATCAATAGCACAAGTTATCTGTTTTAAGAATCTGATTTTTGCCTTTAGAATATATGATTGCATTAGCCTCAGAGATTAGGTGTCACGATGTTTGCTACCTATTGTGTCTTAGACTTTGCCTTATTCTGTGGATATTATCATTGAGAATGTTTCAGCACATGTTGATCTATGTATAAGCTTTGAAACACGACTCATTAACTCGATAATTATTGAATTAGGCTGTTGCATGCTCACTCATTTAGATTCAGTTTATGTTAAAGGTGTTTTCAATTCTTGGAATTGATATTTTTCTGAGCAGTAAATAGTGGACCATGTCCCTTTGAATTTTCTTAGGGCGATAAATTTGTTATCTGATTCCCATTTGCACTTGATATATAGTTACACAAGATCTAACGAAATCCCGAATGTGCAGGTTTTATGTTCGGCGGAATTTTATTCCGTGACAGTTGCATATCCGATTGTCCGAACAAATTATCACCACAAATTAGGTGAGCGGAGAGCTTGAAACCGATCAACAAATTTAGCGCTCATGTTAACTGTTAACTTGGAGTCAAGCTCTACGCTATATTTAAAATGGAATCAATCAGTTTCTTCTCTATTCGGAGGTAGGCGATAAAATTGAAAATTAAATCCAAAAATAAATGCTATGAACGCCACATCACTCAGCCTTTTGAATGGGGCGAATGTCGGTGTCAGACGGTGTGCAACTCAGACTGTTGCTAAGAATCTAAGTTTTTTGTAACGTGTCAATTGGCCCGTCGACAAGATGCAGCACTAGCCAGTTCTGAAGTGTGTGCTTTTAAGAACTTTCAACTGATAAATTTAGCATCCAAACTCCAATGCTATTAATTCTCTGCTTTTCACATTGTGTTGTCAACAATGATTTTTATGTCATTCGTTCTAATGCGTGTTTCCATCCATTTATACGCGTACGAAAAATAACTGATATTCTTATAAAGGAGCTCCAGCTCGCACTGAATTCATCCGTTAACCGCTACCAGGTTATTTGCAATGATGGGAGGAATTGTTGAAAAAGATATTATAAACAGAAATTGAGAGTAAGAAATTCTTAAATATCGAAATCACGTCCCACAGTAAAGATCTCCTTCTAAACGAGTTTTTCTTGAGGTAATCTTATGCAAGGAAATTACAAGCATCGCTAGTTGTAGTATGGTCTTTAAAATGAAACAAGAATAAAACTTGCAAGTAATTTTTCACACGCTACAAAAACACTTCGTACTCTATTCATTTAATTTTCCTTGTGGTCTCCAGTTCGACATTCCAGCCGGTGGATGAAACCCCATCAGCTGTAAAATCAAGAAGTTACAACCGTGTCAATTTATTCCGGCAGACTGAAAGTTCTGTTTAGTACAGGCTTACAAAACAGGTATAATGTGGACAATACACAAGTAACTGTAGACATGAAAATTATAGGCATATATCTGGAGTAGGATGCCAATTTACAAAAGAACCCTAACCTCATCGGGCTAGAATTGCTTGCAAAATAGAAGTTTACGAGTGCCACACAATGAAGTTGCATATTTCTTATTTATCTCGATTGCCGCAGAAACATTTTTGCGTAAAATATTTTCAAACATTCAGTGAATTTCTCAAACATGATTATGAATTCTTTGGAACATCTTGACTGATCCATATCTCACAATTAACATCGTAAAGGACGCACCCGTTCTTCTCAAGTCTCAACTCCTACCTGCAGTTGGGTATGGCCTCGGTGGTGAAAGTAGCCTTGTAGCCTCTGTATTTGTTTTCCAAGCCATATTTACTGTAGTCATTGTTCATGTAATGAAGGATGAGCTCCGACTTGTCACTTTTGAAGGCTGTTCCTTTCTCAATTTCTTCGCCACAAAATCTAAAAAAAAAATTACGTAAAGTTTAATGCAGCGTTCATAGTGCAAACCAAAATATTAATTTCTAATCCTTCATGTTAATTTATTGAAATTTTTTCATTAGTTAACACAGGGAATTTTTCATACTTTAATCGTGATCAACTGATGAAAATTCAAGCTATGTTGATATTACACGCAGCAGGCAATAAGTAAATAAATGAGTTAATGAATTTGCTTCATTCCTACGTGAATCAAAAACCATGACAAAACAAGCCATACATTTTCCCCTCCGGCACGGAGACGTCGGAGCGGATCTCGAGGAAGCTGAAGCCGCAGCGATTACTACTGTCACTCCGCGGCTCGATTCCAAAGTCGTCGAACTTCAGCACCGCTCGCTGGCACTTCTCAGCACGGAAAACCTGCGTGTACTGCGTTTCTGGGGAAATTAAATTACGTGGGAGTTATAATACTTAGTTCAGACAGTTAATCGAGTAGAACACAGACAGCACATAAATAAACATTTGTAGGTCATATAGTCGCTCGATAAAACACAGACAATATATTAGTAATCATTTTTAGGCCGTACAGTTGCTCCACAGAACACAGACAATATTCTTGTTATTCGTTAGAACGCTGGTTGTCTTTTATGTGTCGAAATGAGATTTTAAGTAGATTTCTTTATTTTCATTAAACAGTTAAAGTTAACAGTGACAAATTCTTCCGCAAGGCTGTAATTGTTATTCAATTGTTCATATATATATATAGGTTGGCCCAAGGTGAATACCTCAAAATTTTAGATTACGATAGACTTCAGATATCAAATGAACATGTGTAAAATGGCTACAGAATAATTGCCCAGATTAGTAAAATGATATTTAGACAGTCTAAACGTTATTTCAATGCAACGAACGATTCGGTCACGTCTGCATCTTGTCACTCGGATCAGGCCGTGAGTAAGGTGAGCGGATCGCTTTGTACGCCAACTGACACGTCGCACAATAATCAAATATTCAATTTTACACTATCTGATTCAGTACAATTGACCTTGCTGGGGCTGAGTTCGAGTTTACAGATAAAAGGCTCACTGAAAATATGCAACGACGTCTCATTAATTATGCTCATAATCATACTACCAACCAACTAGGTATTCTCTAGTCGAACTGTCGAATTAACGCTGAAACATCCTCCATTCTGGACGTTTGAATCACGCTGAAAACTTATTTAGAAGGAAAACAGCCACAGTGTCACTTTTACAAGGTAATTTTGCAGTAAATATACAACAATGAATGCTACTCATATCACATTGATAACTCATTAAGTTGAAGAACCATGAAAAATTGTCAATAAGAAATTCTCAATCAAAATAATTGCCAAGAATTACATACTGGTCGATGGGGCTTTGTCAGGGTAGCCAGGAGAGACGACCTCTGCACCAGAGGTTGAGATGACGGAAGTGTACGGAGAGAACTGCTTTATCAGAGCATCTGTGTTGAAATGCAAGTGTTCAGCGACGATAAAATAAACTATAGATCAAAATTGTTTGCAAGGTGATGCGTCTATCAAGTCTGCATCAGATCAAAGTTTATTGATTGAAAGTCGAGACTTTATTTTCATGGTCGCTTGATCATCTACTTTTTGTAACATCCAAATACATGACAGGTGTTAAAGATATCCCAGTAGTTTGCCTGTCAAAACATTAGAGCCTGGCCTCGAGTCACAGCAGAGAATAATAAATTGAAACTTGAAAATACGAGTATCACTGTGATAGAAATAACGGATATAGGTACTGATGATCAATTCCACCGAAGCGTAAACACAATTTCCCAGCTCAAGAAAGGTGAAGAGGACAACCAGCAATTAAATCGCCGGAGAAAAAGTGATTCCATCTATTAGAGTAACTAATTTTTAAATATATGTTTTTTAGATTCGTACCGCTGTTGACCAGAATGACGATCATTCAAAAATCAACCTTAAGAAAATATCTCACGGATAAAACAGTTTAAAAAGTATAACATTAACCACCCAAACAGTGGTACGCGCAACCTACTGGTACATGAGGGCCTTTCAAGTAGTAAGCAACTACTTACAGTTTCAAAAAAGATTTCTATTTAGTATGTTTTATTTAAAATCTCAAAAATGCTCATAATGGAATTCAACATGATCTGGCAACGGTCGGAAACATTAAACATACGCCACATTAAAATATGTTTTTAGTGTTCACTTCAAACGAGAGCTAACTCATTCTCATAGCTAAGCTAACTTCAAATGAGAGCTAACTCGTCCCAGTGTTCACTTCCCATAAACTTGAATCAATTGAAACTACACTAAATATTATGAGCCAATATGTAGCATTGGTGGTAGGGGCGACTGATCAGGACCTCTGAATGGTGTTCGATCACAATAATTTTGGGAACTATCGCGTTACACTTATTCTTATTAATAGTATTATGCCTCACCTCTATAGCTCATGACGAGATTCTCACACTTGTCACATAAGTAGGGTTGTAGCGCGACGAATTAAGGGTGATTTTTCGGAGGCCAGTCGCGGTAACATTTTTGCTTATTTTTGAGCATACTTTCGGCAATAGCGCGACATTTTTGGCTAAAAATGTCTCGATATTGATCAACGTCGCGGTATATGTGTATGATTAGTTTTAGCTATTATCGCGACGAAAAAAAAAATGAACCATATTACGAGACATTGTAATTAACACAAATCTCGTTAGGTTAGGGTTAGAATTAGGGTAAGAAGTGTAAAAAATGTTTCTTTAGACACTATTTTACAATTTTACTAAGGTTAGGTCCAGTTAGGAAAGGTTCTTTTACCTTAAATAACTAATTGAAAAATTTTAACTAATCATAGTCGCGGTATATCAGTTATATATATATATATAACTCTGAAATACCGCGACTATGATTAGTTGACGTTTTTCAATTAGTTATTTAAGGTAAAAGAACCTTTCCTAACTGGACCTATCCTTAGTAAAATTGTAAAATAGTGTCTAAAGAAACATTTTTTACACTTCTTACCCTAATTCTAACCCTAACCTAACGAGATTTGTGTTAATTACAATGTCTCGTAATATGGTTCATTTTTTTTCGTCGCGATAATAGCTAAAACTAATCATACACATATACCGCGACGTTGGTCAATATCGAGACATTTTTACCGCGACGAAGTGTCGCGCAATATGCCAAAAATGTCGCGCTATTGCCGAAAGTATGCTCAAAAATAAGCAAAAATGTTACCGCGACTGGCCTCCGAAAAATCACCCTTAATTCGTCGCGTTACAACCCTACTTATGTATATATATTTATATATATATTGCCAACAATAAATAAATAACTGAACCTGGCTGGACCTAGCCCCTCTAGAAAGGCCTATTGCAACGTAAAGAAGGGTTTTATTCACACCCAACCCAAACTCTAACCATAACCTAACAAGGTTGGCTTTTTTTATGTCCGGTAGTGTAGTTCATTTATTTTGGCGTCCAGTTTCTAAGTACGAACTAATTGCAGAGTACACAATCCGACGCGGTTTTGTCCGGGTTTCTATCACATATCCGGTAATGTTACCGATTGTTTCCGGTTATTGTTAGACTTATTTACCTCTTATATATATAATTGTGGTAAAAGAGGTATTTGTCACTCACATCTGATCCTGCAATCAGTTACTATGTGCCTCGCCCCCCGCTGATTCTTTTGGGTTCAAAATTATGCTTGTATGACTCACCCGGTCGCGGTACTGCATGAGAGAGTAGTAGTCGTAAGGGACTTCGAAGTTGATGGTCGGGGCTTTATCGTAATTGTGTTCCATGCCAGGCTTAATGTTAGCCATGTACACAATGATGTTGTCGTCCCTGAAAATAAAATCTTAATAAATTACGTGCACTTGAGGAACACAACCTATACCATATAATCAATATGAAATATTATTATTAAAAAACACCGATAGTGTTTGCCATTGCACCCACTTTTTAGAGTTCACACGGAAAATAATTTTATGATAAATGAAGCTTTCAATAATTTTACATTGAATTCAAATACATTAATTTCTGGGATTTGTCTTCCAATGAGATTCGAAATTAAACTCGCGACTATGTCAGATATTCAAGATTCAGCACATGTTTCATTCAATTTTTTAAATGCAATTGTATTGAGTTGATCACTAATATTGTGAAGTAATAAAAAGAAAATGCGCGTCTGCCTCACTCAGAATTCACATCGAAACAAGTGAATTCATTCTGAAAGACATCCACGAAAATGTGAAGTACAAGTAATTGTTCAATCAGTGTAGTAGTGAAGTGAGTTTGTGGTAACATACTTTCGTGTGTGAGATTTTTCGTTGAGTCTATTATAGGTTTTGACTTAAATTGTGCAATGAGAAGCTTGACATGGAATCTCAGTAAGCGAAGATTGAGAGTCAATGGATTCAGTGGAAGTCAGTGACATGAGTGGTGAAATTCGGTGAAAGAAAACAAAGCGTAGTAGTGACACTTATCAAGGCATCTTATTTTAAGCCTGAATTTACTAGGTATTATTGTTTTTGATGGCGCTTTTATTATTATCTGCCCTATTTTGCTAGCTCTTGGAGTTGTTTTCAACTTGCGTGCAAATCATACATTATTTGAGGGCAGGACAGAGAAGGAAATGCTATCCGAAAATACTAGAAATACAAGATGACCGTTGATGAGGATCCAGAGAGTACCACCTCCGATAATTTATAGTATAGATTTTATAGTGAAGGTAACTCAGTTAAAGGTTTACGTGCAAGGTGACTTTTATAATCTTAGGCTTCAAAAGCCATTTTTATTCTTCTGTCAACCAGTTGTTTTATTCTTGAAGAAAATCAGGAACACTTCATGAATAGGCGATAGGGCGGATTAGGCCTAACGTTCAACGCCGACTCCCATTATACACATACCGGTACTGCTCTTTTTTTATAATGCCGTGTTGAGTTTCACGCATAACGCGACCAGAATCAACTTTGAAAACAAACAGTCACATTAAATAATATCATAATTAAGGATAATGTATAATGGGAACTTTCCGGCTATTGTGGCCCCAAATGGTTTTGTCGCGCGACGGCAGAAATGCTGACAGAAAAGGCGTCTATATGTGACCGGGCAGCGGATATCTTCCGCTGTCCGTCAGCGAAAAGATAAGAGTATATACTTTTAATTGTGCCAAAAGACCTGCAATGTTGCGCCCAAAAGCAGTGCAGTAAGTTTTACATCAAGCTTCGAAGGAACAAAATTTAGTGGATGTCATTGTCTAAGATTGAATGAAGTATGTATTTATTACGTTTTTATTAGAGAAAATCTGACGTGACTTCAACCAAATCAGTCAATTTAGTTTAGTAGTGTATTTGCCGTATTGTATTTGTATATTGTATTTGCCGTCAAGTTCTCGTGTAAATTAAAATAAGCGAATACAGTGAATGTTTGGTAATAAGTTAATTGAAATGTTGGTCATGCGTGTATATTTCGTTTGCAAATACTTATTCAGGAAGCATTTCTAATGGTTAAATTTTACAAAGGCCAATTATCTGGTTATGTGATAGAAATTTTACACTCCTTGCACTATTTACCTAATATGAACCGCTCAGTTCATGTAACTCCACACCTCACATCACGTAATCGTTCATACACCCTCACAAACCTGTCACTGCGAGCCTGTTCGTGCTTCATCCCCAATGCGTGGCCGATCTCGTGAGTTGGTCCTCTTTCCTGTGAATAAAGCATCATAAACTCACTGTTATTATTAAAGAACTGTCATTATATTGGACTTTTGGCTAAGCTTTGATGAGCAGATAAATTATTTAAATGCATTATACATTCAATAAATCACTCACTTTACGATACAATGATAAACATCATAGTTCAGGACTCACGTTCATTTGCAGTTTGCACGATATTTAATAAGCAGTACTTGCTTATTAAATATTACTCATTAAAATGACAAAACTGGGCTATGTTCAAATTGGTACACATTTGCTATTATTAGTAAATAATTACCTAGCTTATGAAATAACGTAACTGGATTCTAATCCGATAGTCAAGTCATAAATTTTCTTTCTGCACTCCTCATATTCAACAAAATATATGATAACTAAATGCTGAATTGTAGATTTAATGTCATGAAACAAAGTTTGCGTATAGTCTTACAATCATTTGAAAGTGATTTTAATTTCAAAAATGAAACGGTCTCCATGCAAGAACTATCTTCAATAATCTTTCAAATATCATCCTATGCTCATACTGGGACCGTTATTGCTTTTATATTTAACCTTTAACCCACAATTTATAAAATGCCACTAAAGTTGCCACTTAACTCGCATTATAATTACAAGTGTTTTGCTGACGGTCGTAACTTGCTGCTTCTTCTTCTTCTTGGTAATCTTGGTCCTTGGTCCAAGATTACCATTACCTTCGAACAATATTGATAACAGATGAACTATACGAAAAATGTACTTAAGAAAATAGATAATTCATCATTCACAGCGGCACGTACTGGGCAATTTGCGAGGCTGACTTTTGTAGGTTGGCCCTCAAAGTAACCTACGCCGGCGTGACAGGATTTATCGAGCAAGAAGTCCATGTACTCTGCGCGCTCATCAGATTCTGTCATCTTGGAGAACTTGATGCACGTCTTGGCCTCCCAGGCAGTGATAGCCAAGTTTAGAGCAGTCGTGTTTACTCCCGCTGCCGAGTCAAAGTGAAGAAAGGTTAAAAACTGTTTCAACATGACAGGTATTGGGCTTATTCATCTACCGTTAATGGTACGGATAATTGAATGCTCAATAATACTTTCAGTATTTTACACGCAGCATTGTCAAACGTTCAAACTTCTGCTCATTTGCTAGATTTTCTGTCACAATATATTAGTTCAACGAGAAGTTCATAAGGTTCACGGCAACACGTAAAAATATCATATCTTGTAATTTTGTCATGTTTTGGTGTTTGAGTTTGTATGTTTGTTCAGCCTCGCAAATTAAATAAAAAGTTCAATAGTTAAAATAATGCGTAAATAAGAGTTTCATGCAAAATAGGGGTTTTTCTATCTATGCCCTTCTTTATTTTCGGACTTTTTAATTTCGAAATTGGTAATTGGATTTGGGTCGAGCAGATTCTGGAGGACGTAATTCAAAATGATTTGAGAATAATAATACTCAGATTTCATTCATTTTCCCTGGGCATCGTACGTGGCATTCGCCGGCTATTTTAAGGCCAAAGGAGAATGAAAAAGGCGAACAAAATTAAAGTCAATGCAGTTGATTTTGAAACGCATTAAGCTCGTAATGACTTACGATCCGATATTTTGTAGAAAATATTCACAACTCCGTCCTTTTTCGGCCAAAGACTTTCCATTGATAGCAAGTTTTTATCAAGAAAACTGTCCCATTGCTCCGCAGAATACAACATGTCGTCCAGCAAGACGGATCCGTCTGCTCGGCGTTGCACATCCTGGAAAACACTTTGAAATTAAATAAAGAATTTCATCATATTGAAATTCATATTGAAATGAAATATATTTCATTTGACTGTAAAAATCTCTAAATTGCGTGAAGTTTGCGAGAGTACACCACTTATTTGAGATACAACAAATTCAGTTGATTATACGTATATCATGTGTTACTAAATGAATGTTCATTAATGCTCGATTACTGAATTTCTTAAATTATGGTAGCATTGCAAGTGGCAGGTATTTTGTCAACATTTGTCATAGTTATAACTATTGAAAATTTTTCGCACGTATTCTATCATGTTTATTAATGATTTATTTGAAACATTACACAATTATTTTGATTTTGCAGAAATCACATTGCCAGAGAAATTTTCCAGCTCCGAATGCTCAATTGATCCCTCTGAAGTTTGGCTTAAAGTGGACAGTTTGAACGTGAAGCAATATAAATATTTCGAAGTTAATAACAAGGAACTGTACCATTGGAGCTGCATCGATGTTCACCAAGCAGAGGCAGAGCGTCAGGATCATATGAAGAGTCTCCCGTCGAACCATTTTGAAAACCTTCGCTGCAACTAATGAAGAAAATAAAACGCTCGGTTAAGACATTGTCATACATTTTGAACGTAGTTCATTGCAATAAATTGGGGTAGAACCATACGCATCATGCGAAATGAACGATACGATTTTTTGACGAGCAGAAAAATGAGTTCTAAGCTTAAAAAAGATATTTGCCTGTATAATTTCTTTGCAAATTATACCATTATAACTCATGTAATCATGTATACATATATATAAAAAGGTTATTATATTATAATAAGAGAGACTTTTTGTATATATTATATTATATACAAAATTATATTTATTATACACAGTATATTATAATTTATATTATATCAAAAAGTATATTATAAAAAGACAGACTTTGTATAGGAAATGCCGAAGAGAGATTATTAGATACCCTCTATGATAATCTATTGTAAGCTTATCAACTAAGAATAAAACTAATGTTTCATTACTGTTGATGAAAATTCTACCAAATCGTGAGTTTCGAAAAACAAGGATACATTGAAGCTAACTTGAATACTAAAATGTAAAGCTTTGGTTGCTACCTACGTATGTTCTTCTCATTATTTTATAATTAATGCATCTGATAAACAAAAAAAGTTTATTTGCGGTCGGGCTTGCGCACGCTTTTCACCAATTAACTTTCAACGCAGACAATGTTCATTAATTTATTCGTTGTTGAATTTTATTGAAACAATTGTTTTTGTGTATGTCGTTCTTCCCCAGTACTCATCAACTCAGCGCCATGAACATAAACACGAAAAAAAAACTTAAGCGAGATGAGTCACGGGTCAGAAAACTTTTGTGACCGTGAATATAATGAAGTACAGGAATATTATGATATGAAGAATTATGGACATGTTTTTGCGATAGATTGAGTTTGAAATGCCGATTTTTGTTAATTAATTGTTGATATGCGAGCCGTGTGGCAGGTTGAACCTAAATTTTGGCTGATAATTCAAGACCAAGTAGAGGTTGTCAAAGTCAATGAAAAATAACCTACAATAATGTGTATTCATGTTGAGCCACCGTATGCAATATGATTCCCTAACTTGTAGATAATCACCCAATAAAATAAAATACCTTATATTACCGGCCATAAATAGTAACGGCACAAAAAATTGTAACAGCCTTACGAAAAAATTGAAACAGCCAACATCATCCTCAGTGCCGTGAAAATTATGCTCGAAAGAAGAAAAGTTTACTCAAGAAAGAAGACCATCACGTTAGCACAAATTTGTGAGCAACCATTTAATGATCTAACGCTGGCGAGAGCTGACATTTTCTTTAAATCACAGTTGTTTCTGTTATAACTTATAATTGAATTATATTAAAATTATACCTTAAATTCTAGGGCAGACATCAATAAAGGCGTTAGATCTCTGAGCTCACCTTGACCAGTTGACAAGAGAAGACGTCTCACTATGATGACGTCTGATCGCACTCTCCATATATACTGTGTGGATGGGGAGGTGAAGTGAGGATGGGGAGAATGGAGTGTACAAATGTGATCCCAGAGAATTTACTCTAAATGAAATAAAATAAGACAAATGAATATGAGAATGATTTAAAGTAAAACGGAACTTCGACAAGTAATGAAAAAGGAGGCAATGGAAGAGTGGCGACACGGGGAGTGGATGAGTCATTGTCATATAATTTTGATTAACACGTTTTTAATTTGCATAATTTGAAATATTAACATTTTTTGCCATTTAACAGATATCTGTGTTGGTATGCTCATTTTTTCTCAACAGGATAACGTAAGCTAGTCTGATCCTAAATAATAACAATAAGATTATTTACAAATATATCCTACGAAGTTGTCTTAGAAAATACCATACATCATAGTTCTAATTTAAAAAAATTAAAATATGTTCAAGTTTAAACAGTAAACGACATAAAAAATCAACATAAATCCCTGCAACGTTTGAAAAGAGATTATTTTTGGCTCATATGACTATTAAATATATCAAATATCTTATAAATGCTAGGAGAATATTCGCTAACTTTGTAATTAATTTCCATCACTCTGGCATTCTCAATATTTATTGCTAACAATTAGATCACTAGTTGATGGCTGCACGAATAAAAATAATGCTTGATATGCCGCCACCTATACCGGCCAGAACTTCAAAGAGATTATTGACTTGTATGATGCCTATAAATTACAAATGTGAATTACCAAAATAATTCTCCCAAAGCTTTTTTAACGCCAGTGTTAGCTTCAAAAAGCATGCATTTTTTTCAGTCTTAATTTACTTCCAGTTCTTACATAAATAATTTTATAAGCCAGGTGCTAATTAACTAGTGTGCGAGTTTGCATGCTACGAACTTTTCGTAACTTACGTGGGAGTTTTAATTTAAAGGTAAATTCAAAATGACGCCATGTTTCTTTAATAGTTCAAGAAATGCGCAATACTGAGCACACAGACTGCTTGTATGATTTATTCGGTAACGATATTACAAATGGCTATTTAGAAATTATGCTGAGACTGGTTAATAATGTATAATTTGGTAAAAAACTCTGTCGCTTCTCCTGGATAATCAAAATTTATTTGTTATAAAATACAATTCAAGGAGCTTCAACTCATCTTCCATAGCAAGCAAACTTGCAAAGTTTGACGCAATAATGCAATTCCTGGAGTTATTAAACACCGACTCGTACGGTAAAAATCATGAATGTGCATTTGAGAACGGAATAACAATCACGTTGAGGTCTTCTATTTAGATAGAATCATGTCAATATATTTTCAATTATTATTTTTAATTAATCCCTCTGTTCTAGTGATATTTTTTCACCTTCGCATTTTAAGGTGAATTAATTGTATAACTACTCATATATTACATATATATGATTTTTTATAAATCGTAAATATTTATGATTTATAAAAAAATCATAAATATGTAATATATGAGTAGTTATACAATTAATTCACCTCAAAATGAGAAGGTGAAAAAATATCACTAGAACAGAGTGATTAACTAAAAATAATAATTTAAAATATATTGACATGATTCTATCTAAATTTGTGAAAATTTTTTTTAGAAAAGCACTTGTAGCCACTAGATTTCGAAAGCTTCTCTAATTTTACTTTCGTGTTCGATGTAATATTGCAAAATTAATTCATCGTAATTATGAGTCTAAAGAAAAGTAGTACAGATTTTGCAAAAGAAATTTCATTGGAGAGGCTTATTCTTCTAGACACGTGTTTCTTCAGAAATTGGACTGCTGTTTGCCAGCTAGTTTGCTTCGCCTACACCTCTTGTATGTAATAAATATTGGAGGTAAACGTGGTGAAACATCGCATCGATGTACATTTATCACTGAAACATTTTGTGCTGAAAAATATTGTCGACACTACACACCCACGGGATCATCTTTCATGTCTAGTGCCAATATGCCACGTTTTATAGTATCTATGCTAAGATTATATTGCCGAAGCCCTTAATTTCAATTCGATTTCTTGAAATATATGCCAAATTGTAGTCATTTGAATAGCCTATCAATTTAACATTGGTTTTTCAAGTCCATAAAAGTGACCGTAATCAAAAACTTGTTACTGACTTAAGAAGGTGTATGCAAAGCTCGGAAACCTTGCAGCAAAAAAGGCATACATTAGAATGTAAAAACATTGGACCGAATTTAGTGTTCAGTTTTTAATCTTCCCGGTAGTCTTGTTTTCAAAATCCTTGTTCTCAGCATTCATTGTTTCTATTTTTATTTGTCAATAACTCCAACGTTAGAGAATCTCGCCCTCCTTTTTTATGGACCATAAAGAAAGATTTATGTATGGTGGGAGTCAATAGGACCAAATTTTCAGTGCCGACGAGATTTCTAGCTGTGTGTGTATTGTGAAAATGGAATATTTTCCAACACAACACCGGCCCCTACCGTCTATTTGAACGTAGAGTAGATGTCAACTTGCAGATGTTCCATCACTTGTGCCAAGATGATGACTAAGAACGAGAGTTCCATGCGAGCCATCGGTTGGACTGCTGGAAATTAAGGTGCGGCACACTAAGTAGTAACAATTTAAATCAGAATTATTTTGCTGTAAAATTTTAAGTCAGTTGGCCTTCTATTTAAATTTTTCACTGAACGGTAATTCACATTTTTCAAAAGATTTCCATTCATAAAAGAACTCAATTATATAAATTTGATTCTTTGACTTCGTTTCTGAAATAACAAAATTATGATGTGAAAATAAATGCAATAGAAATCTGATGCCGCAAAAACTGCTACACATAGAAATTAACTCAATTCTGGATAATGACCAGTCCGACTACCTCAATCATTAATTTTCAATTCAAAACATTTAATCTATCGCATGTAAAATTTTAACGTCTGTGTTTTCAAACGGATGTGGCTAATATTTATATTGAAGCTTAACTGTAGGCGAACTCTCATATTTAAAAACTAAAATTATAAGAAATTTCATGAAGATAGAGCGAAATTTTTTTACAAATTTAGCAGAAAAAATTGCGAGAGTCGGAATACAGTCAGGTGTGGCTAATCATACTTACTATATTAGCCATAAATATATAATCATATCATATTATATTAGCCAAGGTTGCGTTTGATTTCGATCAGCCTAGTTTTGCACTTGATCAGGGGCCATACTTTCAAAACTGGCTAAGTAAACGTAAATGCGTACGCTCTATTTTCTTGTCTATGATTGGTGGATTTTGCTTGAAAGACCGTCCATGATTGGCTGATGAACTTACGATCTCTTAACTTTTTTTAAAATATAGGCCCAAATAATTACTTTCACAAGGTTGTTCATGACACGAACAAACCTCCAAGAAGATGACTGAAAAATTAATTGTTATTGAGGCTACCTTGGACAAAAGGGTGAAGCTTTCCCCAACTTTTTGGAGTTCTATTTCACAATAGTGCGGAGAATATGTGGATGGGCAGAAAAACGATGTGTGCAAAATTCTAGACCCTAAGGCTGATTTCATCATGGTTCGGGGTTGTTTGAAATTTTCACACATGAAAAAATTTCACATATATAAAAATTTTCCCTAAAATTCAGATAGCCTTTTTAGAGGTCACAATGTGCAAAAATGATCGTAAAAGCGTCTTCAGAATATATTTTCCAAGTTTCAAAGCTCTACCCTATCCTCATTATTATAGAATAATAAGAAATTACGGGGCAAAGCATATACTGTACATATTTCTCAGCTTTAGCAAAAACAATAGTTTTGGATACTTGAGGGTCGCAATACGTAGAAACCATCATTATATCACCTCATACATGTTTTAATTTCAGGAGCTCTAATATTATCATCTTCATGGTCAGAGGGTCACTCTAAGAATGACTATAGCTAATACTCCTATAATGTTAATGTTAATTATAATTATAATTATAATTATAATCATAATTATAGTTATATAATTATAATTATGTTATAATTCAGATAGCGTTTTTAGCTGTCACAATGGGCAATAACGATCATAAAAACGTCTTTAGTATGTATTTTCAAAGTTTCTACTTCATCTTCATTATTACAGAATCATAAGAAATTATGATGGTACAGCATATACTGTATATATATCAAAATTTTACCCAAAATAATAAATTTACTTACTTGAGGGCCACAATAGGTAGAAACAATCATTATATCACCCCCAACAAATATCTTTTAACTTGTAGAGCTCTAATTTTATCATCTTCGTTGTCAGAGGGGCACCCTAAGAATGTCTAATACTTCTATAATGTTAACTTAAGTAATTACGTTGACATAAGGAATCAGAACTCTCTTTCCTCACTAGTTTCAACCTAGATATTGAATTATAAACTACTTGACCGATGTAATAACAATTCTCAACGTGTTGATACTTTCGAGAGTTAATCCAGAGATTACCTCTCATTTTCTTGTCATACCTCTGTTTTGTTGACGCTGAAGTCTTGACGTACGAATGCGATTTCTTCCGATCTAGCGTTTTTTTCTGTAAATCATTTCATATGCGATAAATAGGTTCATACAATATCGTACCATCAAGTGCTCCGGGACGTACTGAATGGAAGGATCAAGCTATATAGCAGGAATCATTCGATTTACAACGGTTGGTAAAAACAAGAGCCGAGAGAATATACTTAAGGATCCAAGTCACGTCTGAACAAAGGAATAATCATATAAAGATATCAATAGCCTTGATCCATATAAAATGAAGCGGTCTTCCTTTTCCATTATGATTCAATTTTATTACATAATTTTTCTCCATTTACTTGGCTTCGGAAAATTTGCTCCTACTCATTTTACTTTGTAAATTGTTACTATCAATTGGAAACATTATGCCTAAAACAAAATGCTTCATTTAAGGCTTAAATTTATTTCTTAATATTTCTATTTCAGAAGAATATAATATCATTGCTTAAATTTTAAGCAATGATATTATATTCTTTTGAAATAGAAATAT